CATTCAAACTGGAAACTATAACGGAGGCGGGGAATCTCACAACCACCACGAAATATACTGAGGTCATTAAACAGCTTCGGCTTGTGCTGGAAACCGGATCCAGCGTCCCATTGCTCTCTGTGCATCTGAAAATTCTTCCAAAACACGTCTTGAACGGTTGTTCTGCTTGTCTTATCTGTTTGTCTGTTTCAGGGTCTATAGGTTTTGCTGCTGGGACGACGCTGGTCGGAGTTGGGGCGAGTCGTGTTGCTGTGACGAACCAATTTCTGTTCCTCGCGATTTTCTGCACGATGACAATGAGGGGTCATAAGATGGGAAGGATGAGCCAATTACGGGAGATTAGGATCGAATGGGAATTTGCATCGGTGTCCTCGCTTCTTTGTCTTTTCTTTTTCGTCGCTTCTTTTCGAATGGCTGGGTTCAGGGCCGGGCAAGTCCCGAGATGGACGATTGAGTGGCTGTCACGCCGACAAAGGCGCGATTTATAACGTTTAACGTCGCTTCTTTCTTGTTCTGTTGTTGGATTTTGGGCGCGGAGATCGCACGGGAATTTTGCTTCGTCCTTCTTGAATTTTCTTTTTGAATCTTGTCGATGGCTCTCGGAACTTCGGACTTTCTTTCCGGAATTTGTGTTTTTTGCATTCTCGTATTAGATAGGAATTTTGGAATTTTGGAATTTAGGATTTCCTTTTGCCGCGCAACGCCTTCTGCGTGCACGCTTCTTTTAGAGGCTGCAACGAAGCTCTGATTAGTCGGCGCCCTTAATCTTGCAAGTAACTGTAATTTTGGGCGGGCGCCATTGTAACTGTATTTTTTTTCTTGAGCTTCGTCTTTCCCGCTCTCTCTTTCCCTTTTGCTGTGCCTAGTTAGCCCGCGGCCTACATGCTCAGATCGATGCGTGGAGAGTGGCTACGTCCCCCACACCGGGGTCTGACCATGCAGAACGTAGGTGCTCCTTTCCTAATCTCCTTTCTAGGTCCTTGCAATTCCGTGTTCTTCGCGCAAGCATGCACGATATAAATTATGGCTGCGTGATTAGATAGCTCTCTTAACCAGTTGTTGGAAGCTCGGGGTAGCGCGATCAGTGAGGGTCGGCTCATGAGCGAAGTAAGAGGTGAGTTGAAGTGGGAGTCGGGCGACCCGACAAGCTGGTGCCGAATGCGCGGGGTTGACGCGTGGGGCTACGACGGACTGTAGCGCGCGGGCGAACCTTACGGGTGCAGGAGGACTAAGCAGGGTGACGACTTCGTGGGTTGGTGCGCGGCAACGGACTGTCCGCATCGGAGAGAGAGAACTGAGGTTGATGGGCGTGGATTTGCAATTTTCTTTGTCTTATCTCCCTCTTTACTTTTGTATATAAAATTTTGATCTCGGCTCAGGGCGACTCGCCCGTTTTCTTTTGTTTTCGGAATCCTTGTCTCGGTTTCAGCCCACACTTGTTTTGCGATTGATCTTAATATGTGCTATTGTGTGTTTTGTCGAATGAATGGATGAATGAATGATGTAATTGTTGACTGGTTATCGTCTTTGTTTGCCATTTTGATACGTCGTTAAGCATAATAGAAATCCTGACGTCTGATGTATAATGACACCTTGCATGATCGGGAATGATTGCTTGCAGTGATTAGATGATTGGGTAGTTGTCCATGGCACGTGGCGATTTTGCATAAGGAATTAGACTCTCGTTTTTCCAAAAACGAGCGAATACCTCGCGGAGCTGCGTGTAAGCGTGATCTGATCTGCGCAGCCTACACGTATCCACGCGCGCTGATTCACGACCATTGATAAATCTAACACCTCCGGCATCAGATCGGCGGGAATTTTCCTTCCTTCACGCACCTAAACGGATAGGAATTCCCGATATCGCATCGAGAAATCCCCTTGCCAGTTAGATGCGTGCGAAAGGCTTCCACTACGCCACAATGACAAGATGTCGGACTCATGGGACTCAGAGTACTTCAAACCTTGGGTAAGAAAAGAAAGGCAGATACGTTCGGAATTTCCCTGCCTAACCGAGAACCGATTGTGTTCCATAGAGTTTCGCTGTGCCGTAACCAGCGATCCGAGGTGCCCCGATTACCCAACTACGTATAACACGCAATACTTCATATCCCCCGACTTTATTGTTATCACTACCAACTTCCCTCCCTTCCGTCTTCTCCTCCCGTATCACTAGCTCACTGTGGTACCGTGGAATTCCATCGCCCCGTATTGGCCCCGCACGCCGTGCAGAAACTGCAGACAACGCAACCACCACCGAACCCCGAGGACTATAGAGCGTAACTATAACACGAGGCGACAGATGCCACGTGTCCGCCGCCGAAGATCCGATTTCTAGGAACCGCAGCCCTCACGAGCCTCTTCCGAACCGCCGTCACCAAAACAGACGGATCAGACGGCCTTTAATGCACCGCGCATGCCATCTGCAAGTGCCTTAAGCTGCACGACAACGACAACCATATAACCAGAAGCAACCCACCCTTTAGTCCTATTGCATCTATGCCCCTGAATCTTTGCCACAAGAGATCTCAGTTCCGACCTGAGACTCCACCCCCACTTTCCCAAAAATCCTTGGCACACCCCTTTTTGCACTTCCAGGCCCACATCCCACCCCGATCAGGAAGTCGCGCCGGACGTGAGGTTGGTCTCGGAGCCCGACACGTGGCAAGGTTCTAGGATTCATAGCTGGGCGATCTGGCTAACAGGGGACGACCTCAACCCCGGAACGCGCATCGACGCGATCCCGTCGTCACCAGAAGTTGGTCTGCGGCCCGACGGGCGGTCAACATGAATGCTAATCAGGAGAACCCCCAACAGAACCAGAATCCCCAGCAAAATCCTAATCAACCCGTACCACGAGCACGAGCACCCATGACGCCACCCGATCTCTATCTGTTCGATCCCGCTCATCACCTTGTTGAAGCATGGCTGGCCACGCTCCGAGCTCAGCAGTATGATGACAATGAGGCGCAGGTAAATATCCCTGCACGCTTGGGAGGAGACGCCCATCACTGGTTTAGCACCTATGTATGGGTCGACCTCCCGACATTCGAGCGAGATTTCTTGAATCGATTCGATTACATCCACTCGGAACAGACTCTTTTTATGATTAAAGATCGAGTTCAAAAACCCCTCGAATCTGTCACCGAGTATCGAAACCAATTCTATAGGATGTTTGTGAAAATGGAACGAGGCGAACATGTAGGCAGAGATTTGTTTATCGATGGGCTCCACAGCAGAACAATGAGGGCGGAACTGCTAAAACAGTTCTCCCCCATCAATCACACGCTGCAACAGATCATGGCAGCCGCAGAGGAAATGGAACGAAAGTTCGCTGCGAGTTTCCTAAAAGGGGAAGACTATCCTAGGGAAGGAGATTCGTCCGAGTTAGCAAGAGCTAAAGCTGAGTTGGCTGCATTACAGAACAAATTTGAAAACACGGGGTTTGTGTCGGGCCCTGTCACCTATTTGGAACAGATTAGTCCCAAACGACCGGTCCCGAGTGTGATTACGAGCATGCTCGTGCCCGTGATGACAGCAACCCCGCCACCGATCGAAACCCCCGCACGACCGAATGAGTCTTCCGCCCTATTGGAACTAACCAAAACACTGGTCAATCTGATTCCGGAAAGCAAAAAGGAACAGCGGGAACACAATGCTCGAATAGAGGCAATGATGAGGTCGAGGCGACCAATAGCGGTGCGTGCCGCCCGATTCAACATGGATTGGCTCTGACACCCCCTCCCGTAGGGATCCCTGGCAATCTGAATGTCTGTTACACATGTCATCAGCCAGGGCACATAGCCCGAGATTGCCCCCATCGACCCCCGCAACAACGAGTTGGAGCCCCATTGGTAGCAGGAGCCCCGATCGCCAACGGACCTGGACGAGTTGGGGCAGTGATGGAAGAAATGGAAGGAGACGGAAGCACGTTAGCTACAATGGAGGAAGTTGTTGAACTAATCCCGTTGGATCAGTATGTAACGCTTGGTTACACGGGGCTTGGGATGATTGGAACGATTAGACCCGCGCCAGAACAAAGGGAAGTGGCGGAATGACGACCTTCTCCAAGGGAAATGGAGTCGAGAGGACCCACTTTCGTCACGGGGGAAATCGATGTTCTCAACATCGTGCGAGCCTTCGATCATCGGATTCTTCTTCCGATTGGTCATCTACTTTCGATATTGGAACAAGCCAACGAACGAATGCTGCAACACTGCAAAGCGAATTGAAAACGATTCGCCCTTGCCCGAACAACGAGCACAAAAGCGAAAAATCCCACGCCAGATGAAAATGCAGCAGGTACTTAAGACCCGATACGATTAGGATTGATTCAAAAAGATGATAATTTCCTACGGATTGAACCAATACCATGGAAATCCGCAGAATGCGATATCGAGGTATGGGGAATCCCGTACAACGCTATCATTGATTCCGGGGCCGTTGTCCTAGCTATCTCGTTACGGGTAGTTGAAAGGGCGGGACGAAAGAACGATCTAATCATGCTTACGGAAAAGGAACAGCTCGTTTCCGCAGATGAAGAAAATATTAAAACGGTGGGACGAATGACTAATGTTGCTTTTGAATTAGGGAAAGTACATGCTTTGGGAGATGTCGTGGTTTTGGACGTAAATACTTACGACGTCCTTTTTGACCTTCCCGCTCTTGTGGCCTTGCGGGCCAATCTGGACTTCGAAAGACGATCCATTGTCCTCCGTAATACAGGAGGAAAACCCTATGTTGTACCTATGCGACTGACCCTTTGAACCATGGCTAACGTAACCCCGCAAGTTTCTTGCGTGATGGCGGGAACTCTCCTCGTGATTACCTGGGATAACTTTGCTGACGGTGAACAATCTCTGAAGGACGTAGTAATTCTGGAAATGGTGCAACAGCGTATCTATTACCCTACGCAACGAGCAAACACAAGATCGCTAAGCCTGACTGATCGGAGTCTACAAAGAACACAAGTCATGATTATGGGTGAACCCCTCGTGCAGATCTCGAGGATGGTCGATTCTTTGGATCCCCCTCGAACCCTATACGAAGGTATCTCCCCTTTACTCGCACGATATAATGACAAAAGGCACTATTGCGGCATCACGAATCTCCCACGATCTCTTTTGACACCTGCAAAAGAGATACGGTTGATACGTTTAGGGGCGGATACCAATTCTTTGGAACCCCCTGAGCGCCTCGAAACTAGGCTCGGAATTAAAATCGCAACGAAACCAGTGCCATGGCAGGACATTCGAGACGGAATAACACTGGAAGAACACGTGGCCATCCGAGAACAGGACACACAGATGATGGTCACGGTATTCTCCTGGCGATCGGATAATTCGTTTATTTTCGCGCCCCCGCCCGAAAACACTAAGCGGGTGAGTACGAAACACATCGATGTACGGATATGGGATAAGTTGTACGAGTTGCACGTGCCCCAACACGTATCGGATGAAATCCATCATCTAATCGCGGAAATTTTAAAAGAATACAAAGGAGCGATTAGTCTGACGGACACATACATTGGACTGTCGTTAGTCATACAGCACGAGATTCAAATTGGAAACCATCCCCCGATCCACTGTAAGCCTTACTGATACTCCCTAGTAGAACGGAAAATGGCCCTTGACTCGGAGTGGATTCTATAATTCGAAGCGAATGGTTGAATCGAACCCGCCACTTGGCCATGGTCGTTCCCGATAGTATTGGTACCGAAGAAGAACGGATCGATCCGCATATGCATTGATTATCGGAAGCTGAATGACATCACAATTAAAGATGCGTACCCCCTTTCCAGGATTGATGATTTGCTGGATGCGATTGGATGTGCTAATTATTTCAGTAAATTTGATATTCGCCACAGTTTTCATCACATCCTGGTTAAGGAGGAAGATCGGCCGAAAACGATTTTTGTATTGTTTGAAGGCACGTGGCAGTGGGTTCGATGTCCGATGGGTATTTGCAACGCGCCTGCCACATTTCAACGAGCTATGAACGTGACGTTCCAGAACTTCATCAACAAGACGCGGCTCACTCAGGGAATGATTAACTTTTGCGTCATTGTGTACATGGACGACATCCTCGTCTACTCTGTGACCTTTCACGGGCATGCACAATACATCGAATGAACACTGGGAGCTCTGAGAGACGCTGGGTTCAAGATCTTGCTCGAGAAGAGCGAGTTTTTCCTCTCGGAAATCTCGTTCTTGGGTTACGTGGTGACGCATGGAGGACTGCGACCAGATTCAAGGAAAGTCGCGGCGGTGAAAGATGCTCCAGTCCCCACGTCAGTGACGCAGGTTCGAGCTTTCTTGAGACTGGTATCGTACTACCGTCGTTTTATCAAAGGCTTCGCTGCAATTGCGCGACCTCTGACGAATCTGCTGCGGAAAGACCAGCCCCTCAGTTGGGACGCAGAGTGCGAACAGGCGCTCGCCACCCTCAAAGGCGCTTTGAAGACAACACCTATTTTGATCCGGCCGGACCCCACAAAGCAGTTCATTCTTATCACGAACTGGCAGCCAGAGGCGATCTCCGCTATTCTGGCGCAGAAGGGGAACGACGACCGAGAGCACGTCATCGAGTACACTGGCACATCTCGTACGGTGCCAGACGAACGACGAAACGATTCAGCCCCGCAAGGTGAATGCTATGTCGTAGTCTGGGGAATCCAGCACTTCCATCCATACTTGTATGGATAGAAGTTCCTCCTTGTAACCGATCACGAGCCATTACTGGCTCTCAAGAAGCTCACTAACTACACGGGTATGATTGGACGGTGGGTGGTGCGCCTACAGGAATACGACTTTGACATCATCCATCAAAAGACAGAGAGGCACGGCAACGCGGACGGGTTGACACGACTGCATCGCCCCGCTAAGGTACCTAAGGGTGAAGAAATCATTCTGTGGAAGGGACCAGAGTCAGCGAACGGACCCAAGTACGGGCAAGTGGCAGTCCTTCCACGTGGCAAGAAGCCGGCGATTGGCAATGGGTGACGGAGGTAATCTTACAACTCCTCTCTCTCCCCTCTCATCTTCATCTTTTCTCTCCCTACCCGACAAATTGTGTTATTTTTGCGAAGCAATTTCGCGCGTCTACTCAGCCCCTAGGCGTTCTAGTGGGGAGGGATATGCGGAGTGGATAGATTGTCGTCAGTGTGTCGCACGAGCCCATGCCTCGTGCATTCAGTACAGAAATGGTGATAAACCTTGGTTGTGTCCCTTGTGTCGGACTGATAAGATCCCGACTGAGGCTCGATTTCTCGACGCCACGTCAGACGGGTTGGAAAAGACCCGGAAGTTTAGAAGGACCGAGGTATGGACGATTATCGCTCTAATCGCCACCTTGGTAGGAAACCCCCTCCAGGACTTCACTAAGGAAGACCGGAGGAGGGCCAATAAAAGGGCCAGGGACTATCGCTGGAACGAGGGTCGGTTAGAAAAACGAAAGACGGATGGTAGTGGGATTTGGATGGCAGTGTCGCACTCGTTCATGAGATATGACTAGGTTAAGACGGCACATGAGGAAACTGCGGCCCATTTTGCCGTACGGATCACGGAAGCGGCAATCGACAAGAACGAATGGTATTGGTCCAATATTCGCGATGATGTGAAATTCATCGTCGCGAATTGCCAGGTCTGCGCTGCTGATAAGGCGTCGATCCAACCTCCAAGATCGATAGTACTGACAATAGTTGATCGGCCGTTTCAGAGGGTTAGCATGGATACCGCCGATATTGTGGTGCACCCTGGACCTAATAGTTGCGAGTATTTAATCCTATTGGTATTCGTAGACCACTTTTCGTAATGGATTGAGGCATATCCGTGTTGTACACAACAGGCGGCTGAAATTGCGCGATACGTCAACCGGTTTCTAGGGATGCACCAGGACACAGAGGAAATCCTGACCGACAATGGGGTATGATCGTACATGGCGCCGCCATTCGGAATACTGCACCCCACATGTCACAGTCTAACGGCCTGGTAGAAAACGCAAATCGGGTGATAAAGACCGCATTGCGATGAAACATCGTGGCACGGGATCCGAGGCCTTGACCCGATATCGTAGATCACATCCTAGCGGTCCATTGGGGAACGCCTCACGAATCGACGGGCCTTAGCCCCTTTCAGTTGCGAACCAACAGCGTAGCTTGTGTCTCGATACCGAGCCTCCCCGATGAATCTTCATTGAACCAGCGGCCCACAAGAGCCACGGTTCGGGACAAGGCTAAGCGGCACATGGAGCTGATGGAACGGTCCTTTCCCCGATTAGCCCGAAAGCGTCAGAAAATGACTGAGTTGGCCCACGATCGACAGGTCCGTAGATACGAGGCCCGAAATGGGAACACAAGACCACGGCCCCAGTATAATTTAGAGGACCTGGTGCAGGTGAGGACATGTGCTCGTCAGGGGAAGATAGCGCCACGATTCTTCGGGCGATTTCGTGTGATCGAACTCGGCCTGAACGAAGTGAACACGGTGCGCCTCGTGCCGGAGGTCTCGGGAAGCCGATCGGCTCGACCGATCGTCCGCCACGTGTCCTACCTACGTCTTCTCCGTTCCTCTCCATCACCAGCTGTGTCTGCTTTTTCCTTCGCTACAGAGGAGGACGACGATTCCTTATCACTCTCGTCCCCTCCTGCTTCTCTACTCCGTCCTCATCGCCATCGCCATGAGTTTACTCACTGAGCGAGCTCTCGGCGATCACATGCAGGCGCCACGCGGCGACATCTCGACAACTCGGCAAGTTCATCACCCGCGATTCAGTCTAGACCTTCTACGGCTCGCGCAGTTCTTCAGCACTACCGGGGTGTACGTGGCGGCGGAGTTCCGGTTCACGGGCCATCGTCAAGCGATCGTATTGGCAGAGGCAATGGCAGTTCGACGGTTGTCCGCACCAGGAGTTAGCCATGTGTCTACCGTCGTCATCTTCAGCGGTGACATTAGCGCGATCAGCCCTCTACGACACACGGCCATCCGAACATCGCTAAGAGAGTGGGGCCAGCAGCTGGCAGCGGAGTGGAATCAGTGGCTTACGCGCCGCGACGATAATCTTGTCCCCACGGACGACATCGACGTCGGAGGGCTCCGAACATCTCAGCACGAGCCAACGGTGGTGTTTCCGGAGCTTGTTCCCTTCCAGCGTCCTCAATGAACCGCTCCCAACTTTCTACCTTCACTCTCCCATCTCTCTTCCCTACCTTCTAGCAGTCTGACCTTTGCCCCCGTCTCTCCTTTCATCTAGAACCACTCGCAGTTCCCCTTCTCGATCGAAGACAGTGGGAACTGTGGCGCGAGCACTTCGTCGATCCTTCGGTGTGTCTGGTCGGGGTGCAGCTGACGTGGACGAGGGACATAGAGCACCGCGCCTGGATCGCATACGTGGAGCTGTTGATTATCCAAGCTTGGAGGACGGAGGTGGAAGGAGACCTCGTCGTATTTCTATTCGGATCGGTGTGACCCGGCCATCGACAGCAAGTCGTACAGGAGCTCACGATTCCCCTCGCACAGCTGGTCGACGATCTCCCTCTCGATATCGTCTCGCAGTGCGACGAGAGCCCGGTCCCGCACGTCCTTTCACGAACTCTGACACCCTACCTACAGTGGTCGGCTTGCCTCGAGGAGCTGGGAGGTAATAGCAACCCGCCATCGCAACGAGAGTACCTGGACCCATGGAGGATAATCGACCTCGCCTTCTTTCAGCCTCGAACGGCCTCCGAAGACGAAGGGCTAACGCTAGAGGAGCAAGAAGAAAAGGGCGTAGAGGAAGGCGACGAGGAGGAAGAAGAGGAAACCTCGAAAGAAGCAGGGAGCTACAGCGAATACAACGAGGAAGAGTCGGGAGGTGAGGAAGAAGAGGAAGAAGAAGAAGAAGAGGATCAGTTGGAGGAGGAGGAGGGATCTGAGTGGGAGACTTTGGGTGAAGAGGCGGAACGCGCAGAGCCCCACGAGGAGGATCCCAAGGCGGCACGAAGGAGAGAGGAGATCGCAGCTGGAAAGCAGCCGCTGGAGTTCGCAAGTGGAGTGGATCTGCCGATCCCAAACGACCCGGCCAAGGATCCCGAGCCACCCAAGAATGACGATGGGGACCTTGCTGCCGAGACTTCGAGCGCACCGGCATGACGACGACGAAGCCAATCCCCCTCCCCCTCCACCTCCGCCCGTCCACCAGGTCGAGCTCGTACCGATGCGGGGCATCGGGCTTCGTCCCCTTGATCACCTCACCCTCCGCCAGATCACCACCCGCATCGCCTTCCCCCTCAATCCCTTCCCAATCGACACCTTCCACTTTTTCTATGCCACCCGTCTTGCTGTCACGGTTCATCCCCACCCCTCTACCCGGTGTGCCACCCCCGTCTTCTGTCTCCACGCCCTTCTCTTCAGTGCCGCGTGGCGAGGGCACAACATCATCGAGGTTTACTGCATGATCACGGGGACTATAACCACGATCACTTCCACACGGCGCTCTTCCGAACCTACGTCGGTTACTCCATGTGTAAAAGTATGATTCAGATCACACTAAATATGCATTCGAATGTACCAACCCAGGCAGTCCGTCTAGGTGCACACCACACGAGATAGAAGATGGAGGAAAGAGGATAGAGGAAGAGAGAGTAGACGACATGTCCCGAACGCGACTTGTTTACGTAAAAATATACATGAAGCATGAAGATGGCGTAGGACCCTACAGGTTTCACCTGGCCGCCCACCAGAATCATCAGGGGTCTAGTTCGTCGGTATCAAAGACATATAGCCCACTAGTTATCTACCAGAAAGACTGAATCTTCAACACCACCTTAGCTTAGTCAGAGAACTCATCAAAGCCGCGCAAAACCCGTTCACCCAAAAACTCGAACCAAAAGAAACACCTAGATACTTCCAGAGGTCATCGGGACTCTAGTGCTCGAAAGGTAACCAGTTCAAATCTAGCCTAAGCACTCACTAACAACCTTAACCAAATGTACCAAAGAACCCTTGATACTGCCGAGAGTCAAATCGAAACCAGTAAAAAGCAAAAGGTCCACATTCAGGCCTCGTTCATCCGCTGGTCCCACAACCCCTGTTCAAATCCATAGAAGCACCTACATAAAAAAACCAAGGTCCCTTGTTCAAACCCACACCTTGTTTCCGTCTCTCACTTCCCTGATACTAGTAACAAACAACCACAAGGTCCCATGTTCAAACCCATGCAAGGCCCGTTGTGCCTGTATCAGGCTGCATGTATTTATTCAATTTTATTGTAAATCCGCCACATCCCACCAGACCTGACTGTGGACACTGTACCGCAGAAAAATGGCCAGGAAAACACACAGTGATTGCTGGCAGTGGGCAGCCAATGGTTGTCCTGACAAGGAGAGGCTACCTCCCGACCCTCCTAGCTTACCCCTTATCACTACTATCCTACCTCAGTGTGACCGGCACTCGGAACCATCACTCTACCAGTATCGACGGCAACTTCAACCGAATAGCAGTGACAGGCAGCAAGGCTGGGTGGTACCCAGCCCTAGTAGTGGAAATGGAAACCAGGGTTCGAACCCAGATAAAGTCGATAACTGTAATCAAATAATTCTGAATTACCTGATCAGTTCAACAATGATTTTGAAGTTTGAAGGCAGTCAACCATAGTTTTTCACGACAAAGAGCTCAACCCCGCACACGTCTGTTTACATCAGGAAAGTCGCGTGCCCGTCTGTGAGCGAGGGGGCGGAGGGGATGCAGTAGCGGTGGACATGGCATTGCGCCCCCCTTCTGCGTATGTGTGTGTGTGTACGTGTGTGTACGGCCGTGAGAGAGAGAGAGAGGGTGGGGCGGGAGGCGGTGGACGCGTGTGGAACCCCCGTTTCCGCATGTCTGAGGCAGGTCGATGTCCGTCTTGCGTGTGGGTGTTGTCGTGCTCGCTATAGACAGCTCCACGAAAAAGAAGCATGATTGTGCCAGACTGTTTCGTCGGACTCTCACCGACTCATGTGTGTGTGTGACGGGGCTTGAACGCCCTCCCTCTTCGGGTGTGATTGTGTATGTGAGACAGAGGGGCAGGGAGGGCGGAGGGCGCGGCGACGCGCATGTCATCGCCCGTCGACCCCCCTGCGTGTGCGTGAGAGAGAGAGAGAGAAAGAGTGTGGCAGGAAGCCCCGCGTGGTGGGTTGGAAAAGAAAGAAAAACAAGAAAAAATGAATTCAGTTTTTTATCTTCTTCCTTATAACTCCCCCTGTTCAGAACCTCTTGCGTACAAGGCCGCCCACGTGAATGTATACATATATCGTATATATCGTCAAACAGAGCTGCCCGGTAAACCGTAGTAGGCAGAGAGGGAGAGGAAGAGAGAGAAGACGACAACAAACGAGGGGGAGGGGCTGTGAGAAACTGTTTCGACGGAGTTTCACCGACTCATCAGGAGGCTGAAAAATATATAGACATATAGGGTTCAGCCTCCTGATGAGTCGGCGAGACTCCGACGAAACAGTTTGTCACAGCCCCTCGTTTGTTGTCCTCTTCACCCTCCCTCTCTGCCCCTACGGTTTGCCGGGCAGCTCTGTTTGACTATATATAAGAAAAGATGTATACAGCAATCAGACAGAGTATAAAGAAAAGAATGAAATAAAGAGTGGCTTCTGGAAACATTTGCATTGAAAAGTAAAAAAAAAAACACTGGCGAGAAGATCTGAACCGAAGACCTTCTGGACATCCGTTAAAATCGGGGCGATAGAGAGCAGAAATATAGCACAGCTTCTGCGAAACGATGACGTGCACAGATCTAAACAAATAGAGGAGAATGTAATTCGCGGGCGTCGCAGGGGAGAGAAAGAGTTAAGTCTTTTCTCGAATTGAACGCATGGTCATCGTCGCTGTATCTAAAATGAAAATTGCCCTAAATACAGCAATAATGCCGAGCGTTCTATTCAGAGAAAGACTTTAGCAGATTGGGTGTAAGCTGTGCTTGTCCAGCGGGAGGGAAACTGGCAGACAAGACAGAGAGAAACTTCTTGAGCAGAAGCACAAGATCGAATGTTTGGTAAATTGCTCTCTCTCTCTCTCTCTCTCTCTCTCTCTCTCTCTCTCTCTCTCTCTCTCACACACACACACACACACACACACCGCATACACACGCACACACACGTACACACATACACACATACACATTCTTTCCTCCTCTCGTCTCTTTGTCCAAACTGCGCAGAGGGAGAGAAGAAAAAGAAATCCTAAGAAAGAAAAGAAGGCAGAATGTAGGTAACAGAGGAAGCGAGAGAGGAATATAGATTCAAGAGTTAAGATTATTACACAGAGCAAAGGGAAGAGGGACGAAAGGAGCACAAGACAAGGAGAAAGAGAGGAGAGGGTAAATGAGAGGAAAGATTAGAGCAAAAAAAGGGAGAAGGAGAAGAGAACTCGAGAAACGAGAACAGGAGCAAACACATAATGCAGAAGAGAGAAGGACGACAAGAGTAAACAGCAGACACCGGATAGGAGGGAAGAGGAGAAAGAGAAAGGAGAACATAGAAACAATAAGGACAGGGAGATGAAGGGAAGGGGGGCAGCTTGGGCAGCAGGAAGAGGAGACAAAAGTCAAAAACAGGAAACGAGGCCAGGAGAGAAAGAGAGAAAGATTTGAAGGAAAAGGAAGAACATAGCAGAGAATTTAGGGAGCGAGAGGAGAGGAGAGGACAAAGTAAGGAGGCCGAAGAGAGAAAGAGAGAGAGAGAGAGAGAGGAAAAGGAAACGAGAGAAGAGAGGAAGTGAGAACAGAGGGAAGGAGAGGGATGTGGAAGACTTGCGGAAGAGGGGAAGAGAGAGAGAGAGATGAATGACAGCAGAGAAAAGGACGATACAGATGAAGACGGTCCAAATGGTCAGAGACGAGAGAGAGGCAAATCCATCAAGGAAATGTACGCATGGAGGTGCAGAGCACGAAACAGAGAGAAGGGCAGACGATTAGCTTGGTGGGGGATGGGAGGAGAGAGAACCCGAGAGACGAGCAAATCCTTCAGGAAACGTACAAGCGGAGGTGCAGAATGATGAMCAGAAGAAGATGGGCAGAAGATTACATTGGTGAGGAAGGGAGAGCACGGAGAGGAGGGACAGAAGATTAGCTTGGTGAGGAAGTGGGAGGAGGGGGAGGAGGAGGAGGAGGGGAGGAGGGGGAGGAGGGGGAGGGCGAAGAGGAGGGGGCAATGCAACCTGGAAGATGACGTCAGAAAGGCGCAGCGGAGGTGAGATATAGACACAGCTACCATCTTCCGATAGAATTGAATGCGGGGTTCTCTCGTTTGCATCCAGGTCAGTTTTTCAGTGAGATACATAGATGATGAGCCGGCCCTACAACCAGCGCAAGACGGTAGATAACGAAGTTAAACAGAAGGAGACGCATGGTTCTTGAATGGAAAGAGGCAAGAAGAGGAAAAAAAACACCGCGAATAATAGAC